ATGAATACACACAAGAATTTCTACAAGTTCGTTAAGATGTAAATAGGCGAAAAAAGCTCTCGATAACATTCCATTTACAACATTTACAAGAAGTTCTACACAACACTCGAACTCACCTTTCCTGCCATGTCTGACGCCATTCCGATACATCACCACGTGTTCGCATAATCCAATCAGAAATGGACTTCTGATTTGAACAATGATCCGCGCCTTTTTAAAACGAATACGGCTATCGGGTTCAATATTCAAATAATCAATCCATTATTGCATTCGTGAAATGGCTAGCGGGTTCAATAATCAAATAATCAATTCATTATTGCATTCTTGAAATGACTGGTGGGTTCAATATCCAAATGATCAATTCATTAATGTAATCTTGAGGGGTATGCTTCACTTAGTTTGACTGTAATGTTGTAAACTTGTAGAACTTATACCAAACATTTTCAACAGAACTTGGTGCTGTTGGAGGTGTTGAACTTGAACCAACCCTTGATCTCCCACTGGCCAAAATCATTCCTATTATCAATGGACAGATTAACCACATCTTGTGTGACTCAGATAACAACTACTTCCAAGACTTGTTCAAGGTTGGATCTGCAAGAGACTTTGCAGCAAATGTTTATGAAGCATTCAGCTTTGAAGTGGATTAGATGTTTACAAAACATCACAGCTGGCCATACGGACTTAGGACAGGCCTCCAGACCTCAGACTGTAGATTTCTTCATGTGTGACAGGGTTTGATATAAGCAGCAAAGGATCGATCACGTGAGGATATAGTTACAACACTTTTTTAACCTTTCTTTTCCCTAAAGAGAACTCAGTCTTCTGAAGGTACTGCTGTAAATGCATTAACAAGGAATAGAAGTCTCTGCACACTGTGTTTTATTTCTAATTTTAACCCATGGTTTTGTAATTGTTCAATTTGCAAAATCAACCAAAAGTTTTGTTAAATGTATTTGGTTCTCAGATCCATTTGGTTCAAGAGTGGAAAACTTCATACTTCTTCTTACTTTAGATACAGTCAAACTTTTATTGGCCAGTCATCCTCAGGGAATGGTGGGGTGTCTACTCCACACACTCAGGTTCAACAGAATAAGGGTAATATAAAAAATGATAAAAATGCAATTTATCCCACAATTGACCACCAGAAGCACTTACTCAAAAATACTACTCTTATTTTAGTTGAAAGATTATTCTTAGTTTTATTTGAGTGGTTCCACCTTTAAAAGTGAACGTTCAATACATGTGGATGACAAAACAAACAGGCAGAGTTGGGACTCACTCAGAGGTGACCATGACTGCTTAATAGAGATGAAAATTACAGTGATTAAGGGAAAACAAATTTAGGACTTTTACAATCAATCACTTAACAGAGGGTGACTGCTTAATACAGTGCACCTTAATACAGGTGTTCAACTGTGATTCATACATGCCTCCGTGTACACACAGGCATCCCAAAAATAATGTAACATGGGTTATAAGCAATGGGAATCAATTCATACAACCAAAATTGTTCTAACTCAGTCATAAACCAATTGCTTACACTTGGATATACCTCAGAGGCTTCCATAAGAGCAAAGCTTCCCTGCAAATTTCTGTCAGTATTGTGCAATGACTGTTTTAAGTTTACTGTGATAGATGATTGACAGAAGGATTAAGGATCATTTTAATTGAATTATGAAAGGTGACTTATGCTATAATTTACTTGGACTTTAAATATGACGGTGCGTCTTATGTTGGTGAACATAAATATTATGCGAAGGTGTAGTCTGATCGTCTGGGTGAGTGTAGTCCTGAGAAGGACTGTTGTCGGTGGTAGTGACTGACGTTTCGACAACCTGTGCGGAAGTCATCATCAGAGTCAAGTGAATGATTGTTGTCAGTAGAATGTTCTTATTCCAGTTCGTGTTCTTATTCCAGTTCNTTTTTTGTTTAAAAAAATGTATGCATGCATCTGTTAGTGGGCTTGTTCCTCATTTTTATTTCAAAGATTCTAGTACCCTGAAGGATCACCACTACTCTAACTCTATTAGCTTTTTTTTTTTTCTGAGACTGTTTACATCATTTGTGGAGAGCCTGAAATTCTATAAGAAACGCGCTCAGCTGCAAGATTGAGATAACCACCTTCCGGTTAGCTCAATGGATAAAGCGCTGGACTGCTGTGCTCAAGGTCTTAAAATAATTGAGAAGAATATGCTACCTTTCTATAACATCAAGAAATGGTTAGATATTCTAGTCTTCTCGGATAGGGGCGAATAAATGGAGGTCCCGTCTCCTACAGGGTTAGGGGGTAGGAGACGTTAATTTCCCACGCACGAGATTACTGTTCGATGGATGTCCTCCCCTTGGGTGGACTACTCGCATGGTTCATATGTTCCGTTCTAGTCCTACCCAACTGCGTTAATGCACTAAAAATGGTTAGAGAAATAGCTCTTTCAAAAGGCACGAAAGAAGAGAATGGGAAGAGAAAACGGAGGATTTTTTTTTTCACTAAAATTTCATTACAGCATAAGATGCACAAGTTTTTTTCCTGTTTGAAATGCAAAAGAGAGCAAATCCTTGTGTAGTTTAATGCTATATCAGTTTTGAAGGTTTTTTGTAATTGAATTAGTGACTGCATTCCCAGGCTGTGACCATTTCCCATTTTTGTCAAAAGCTCATCAGAGTAGGTCGGATTGGACACAGACTGAAGTTGTCACATGTCACAAATATCGCGCAAGCCTGGGCGCCAACCAGGCGAGTAGACTGCTAACCCTTCAGACCCGTAAGTTGTCAGTCTCTGTGTTCAATACTGAGAATTTTGCAAGACATCTAGGAATGTGCATTTTCAAGGTATGGAATTATGAAATTAGCTATGAATTGCTAGGATCAGAAAATTATGCTGGATAATTGTCTTTCATCGCATCGAAAAGTGCTTATTAAATTGCTTATTTTCTTGGTATATTAGAAAGAAGAACCGGCTGTTTATGTTACTTTTAATATTCTGGATGCCCCCAGTTAAATATTGTCAGTTGCAGGGTAACATAGTGACGTAATATGTAATTAAGTGACATCGAAGGTATTTAGCTGTTCGGTGATTTTCTTGGTTGTGTCTATAACATCAACAGCTACGTTCTTGGTCAAAGCAAAAACTGTTAAAACATAAGAAATTTGATACTTCTAAATCTAATGCGCTGAGTCGATGACGATGGCGGGATGCTCGTGGAAAGATACTTTATAACCTTCGTCTGACTGACTTGTTCAGGGCGATAGATAAGATACTGACTTTTTATGAAAGAAATTAGTGTTACTAAAAAGTGACGCTTATTTCAAGTCACATAATTGCAATGGGGCCAAAAGTACCATGTAATCATAGTTAACCGTTCCGCCCGCGTGATCCAGACGGCGCATCACAAAAAAGACTCACAACAATGACTTTCAAAGAGACATGTGGCAACTAATCAGGAAGTAACACTTACGTGCGACATCTCTCACGTATCGCCGGTAGGCGTAATGAATTCTATAGGAAAATTCATGGAACGCGAAATCCGACGATATCGGTTTTCAAGTTATTTATACGTAGATGCAAAAAAATATTACTTAGCCTCGTTTTCAACTCGCAATTCCACGCTTTAATACCTCGCATCGATAACCAATCAGAATGCGAGACTTTATTTAATGATGCGATTCTTTGCAATATTTCACCTTAATCTAAAAAGCTACCTTTAACAACTCAAAAGTTGCTGCAGAATTAGAATATAACAGGACTGAGAAGACTTAGAACTGCCTTGTCCCTACCATTTCGTACTGGCAAAGGCCTTGCAGAAGTCACGTTGGTGTAAAGTCTCCAAAGTCCCGTTTGAAAAGAAAATCATACTCTAGTTTCCTTTATAAATTAGTTTACGAATCAAAATAAAATGCTGAAAGAAAATGATCTTTGCTTCCTCAAAAATTACAGCTGGCTGGTTTCTTTCTTTTTTATTTTTTTTTTATTTTTTTATTTTGAATCGGGGGGGGGGGCAATTACCCGCATCTGATCGGTTGACAGCAGATAACTAAAGACAAAACACCAGGCTATAGTCTCGGGAAAAACAGGCCGCTCCTTCTCTTCTCCATTAAAAGATTCTTTGGATATATTTGCAATAAATATTGACAATAGGTTGCGTTTTGATAATTATATATCAACTATTTGTAAGAAGATAAATGGCCAGTTCAATGTAATGCTAAGATTTCGTAAACTTATCTCTAAAGATACTCTACTAAGATTGTATAAGGCTTTTATTATGCCACATTTTAACTATTGTTCGTCTGTATGGCACTTTTGTGGTGCGCGTAGTACTGAGAAGATAGATACTTTAAACAAGCGAATTCTTAGAGTTATCTTGCAGGATTATAATTCTCCCTATGACTCTCTACTTAGCAAAGTTAACTCCAAATCTCTGTATAAAAGACGCCTTCAGACTTTCTTAATTATATTGTACAAGAGCTTGTTTTTTAACTGCTATCCAGGCTATCTAAAGAATATGTTTAGTTTCCGGTCTGTANGTAGGTAGGTAGGTAGGTATGTATGTATGTATAACTAGCTGTGGCGAGCTGGTTTAGCCTATTTAGCTGTGTCACCGAGAGTTTCGTGCCGAAAGAAAGCGGCTGCACCAATGCCACTGGTTCACTTGCCATTTTCTTTGCCACGTCCCCAAGAAATCGCCAACATTCAAACTAAAAACGATGAAATTTCACTGTCTAATCGACGAACGTAACCGTTGTCCGAAACTAAACAAATAATTTCGGATGGATATTAGTGGAACACCATTTTAACTACTTATTAATCTTGCTACATAATCTTGTCGCATTTGATGGTATCTTTAGTCGACATCTACTGCAAACAAATCAAGATATTAGCGCCTAATAAGCTTCTCATTGGCAAACATCATCTTTTATCTGCAACACGTTGTCAATGGAACAATAAGTTAAATTTTCCTTAAAGCAAACAAGAGTCTTAGTTCTTTAATTACAACAAGAAACTAATCATTCAAAACTAGAAATAGTCCTTCTTCTGACAACAAAACAGTCGTCAAATGATCTCTAAAGTGCCTCAGTCAATTAGAGTAAGAATAGCGAAGTTTGTTCGAACAGACGGTTCTTTTGTTAGCGACGAGCGGAGAGATGAGTTAGTGAATCGGAATTGATGGTGACCCACGCGTCTCTACAGACACAAGCTCGATGATTGTCCTTTGAAAAGTGCTTCATTAGGGTGGAAAGGCACTTAAGGCTCTCCAAACCTTGACGATATCGTAATACACGCGGCCGTTCAGAGGATATCGTGTCAAATAAGTGGCACAAATATAAGGTAAGAAAGTAAACAAAACCATTTCTCAACTTGAATATGTTTTAGTGCGAGAAGCAACTTGCAATTAGTTGTTACTGATGCAAACTGAAACTAAATGTATTGGGAGGGCAAGAATCCAAGTTTCGAGCAGTCAAGTCCCTAGCTCAGTATAAAACTCATTAAACTTGGCACTGTTTGAAACTATTGATGGACTTCATGGCTGACTTTCTCCGAGAATATTATGATTTTCCGTTTCTGCCTTATAAAGACTAGACAAGTTTGGTCATTAAACCTTGTGAATAAGACACAAAACCGACCAGATGAAAAATGGATCAAGGCGGCGAGCATAGTGAATGTTGTGAATGTTAAGCTTGTTCTAATGCTAATCACATTACCAAACAGAGTTTGTGACACAAAATAAGCTACTTGATACGTGACAAAAGGAATCGTTTTGATGGTGTTACTTGTGTGTTCGGCTTCATTATCTTAGTGTAGTGGTACACTTTGCTGTCAGAGGATTGATCTCTTCATCTCACAAAGTTATGGGGTAAGGAGCGAATTTCAATGAAGCAACAAAGAAGAAATCGATTGTTAACTTTTCTAATAACAACGGTCGAAAAACAAAAGAAAATGAAATGAAATAGCACCAAAAACTAACAGTTGCAAAAAGAGACAAAACATCTCCGCAGAAACTTGGCACTGGGTTAAATTCAAATGCGGAATTTCGATACAAAGCACCGAATTAATCATAAAAATATGCGTTTGTACATAAACATAATTCCTGCTTTACCTAATAAGAATCACGATGAGACAGCTTTACATTTAATCAGATCCTCATCCACATATATTTATAAAACGTTTCAATTGTTACACATATTTTGCGTGACATAGTTTTCCCAAGAAATTTTGCTTGGGAAGCTGGCACGCTTCCAGAGAAAATATATTTCTTTGCGCATGCCTGACGTTTGACCGCTGTGCAGAAAGCGCTCATTAGTCTCATTAGAGAGGCTGCATAAAGTTTTTCTATCTTATAAGCTTTTTCGAGATAGTAAAGCCCTAACTTTTAGCGAAAAGTGTCGTCTTATATTTCAAAGAGGACGAAAAATCGATCCTTTTTTGTTTTCATTGTCTTTTTCATTTTTAACAGACTTGGTAAAGGTCGGCCCAAGGTTTGAAATCCAAAAATTGGCCTGCGTATCAACTCCAAGTTTCTTTAAAATCTAAGGGAAAGTTAAATTATTTTCAAGTGAAAAAAAATTAATGAATAGATGAACACATGATGTCGGAGGCTGAAAAAAGTCGTAGAAAAGCTAACCGTAAAACATTTCTGGTGACAACAATGGAGAGATATTAACCGTTGGTTGTAATTTGGCCAAAATTTTGACCGTTAGCTGTAAAAATCATCACCCCATTGAGACCCTCATGAAAGTTTTTGATTCAAGTAGCCTTTTAATATGCTCAAAAAATTCATCTCCCGCAACCTTTATAGAGGACCAGGCCCGTGTTCCTGTTTGGTTTTCGTCG